CGGCTTATAAGAACTTCAGCAAGGGTATGTAACGAGAGTTGTATCCTTGATATCCCGACTGTTGGAGGCTACTACCATACCATAATTATAGCCACTACCCTCTGGTAAATTAACATAGACCCTGAAAATAGCCTAGTTGTAGTGGAAACTAAGCTTCCAACCCCTATCTGCCAGGGTCTATGTTAATTTACCAGAGGGTAATAAATCATGGCTTACCAACGACTCGCCATAAAAACATGGCAAGCGGCTCGCATCACAATCCTCACTTGGGAGCAGCGATGCGTCATTGCCAGCTAAACCTCGAGATGTTGCATAAAAGCGACGAGGTTTGAACCTTCGACGAATAGATCATAGATCTAAGATGTTGGCTTAAAACTAAATATACTGAATGTGTACTCTATATATATATGTATGTGTGTATTAGTGTATTATTATTATCATTAGCTTGTTTGAACTACTCACGATATATACTGTATGTATATATATATATACACATATAATATCCATGCGTGTAGTCTATATGTTTCAAATTCAGACTCCTAGAAGAGCACTGCAGCTTTGAAACTGCTGAGCCCACTGGGCGATCAAATTCAAAACACTGTCTCTCCCTACCAGACCCTCCATACCAGCAAAGTATTATATATATATGAGATTATATAGTATATCAGTATATCAAATGCATCAAATATGTCTCGTGGCTCCCAATTCATGGAGTTTGATACATTCCACTGGGGCTTCATCGAAGTCACTTTTTTTTGTTGTCCAAGGATGGGATACCCCAAAATCCAATGATTTAAACATGTTTAAACTACCAATTTTCTCAATTTCAACTGCCACAAATTGATGAAAAAATTCTGCTAAATCAATGCAAATCACCCATTTCTGGAGAAAATCCCATGAAGTGTTTGTTTGTGTGTCATTATGAATTTTCTCATAGCTGATGGCATGGCTGATGGTTTAAAAAATGCTACCCCATTGTTAGATAATCTCCCGTTGATTTCATCCAGAGACTGCTGAAAATGTCGTAGATGAGCTCGCCGTCAAAAGTTAAGCATGTCAAACCACTGGCTCCTGCATCTACATTCACCTGATGACAGCCGACAGCCCAAAGATCCATTTGTTTCTTCCATGAAGGTTTGTCGTTGGGAAAACCCACAAAAAAATCATAGAAAAAATCACCGTTTTCTCTGTTAAATAGCCAATCTTGGGGGGGTATCTACCATTTCCAGCCCCTTGAGAACTTGGAGATGAAGTGAGATTGCGCGAGGCGACGCCAAGGTTGTTTTCTTTTCCCAAGCATTTGAACTTATGCTGAAACAAACCTGTGGCCAATGTCCACAAAGTTGTGGCTCCTGCCGAAGTCACCATGAGACATGGACAGAAAATGACTTCCGAGCTGCCTCGGAAATGCATTGACCAGTGGTCTTGGCCCTCATCAAAGATCGCTCACCAAAGGTAGCACCTCAGATTTGCTGTACCTTTCATCATTTTCACCAGGGTCTGGGTCACAACAGTGCAATCACCATGGTAATACTTAGCTTCCCACCCCGTGTCAACTCAGCAATCGTTCGACCTCGGTCTGCCGGAAACTTCACCCATTTCCCATTTTTAGTCACCGTGAACTTTCCCTTCATCCTCCATTTGAGAGTTGGTAAGTTATATTCCATGAAAGTTACCATGAACTTCCCATTAAGCCTCCATAAAGATTGGTTGTATTATTTGGATATGGGTCAAAATTGGGTACCCAATCACTTGGATTGCTAATACTAACAATAGATAACAATAGACTAAAATCTGCGGTACACTGGGTCTAAATTATAACCCGCATCCATACAACTATGAGATTTTCACCTCCGTAACTTCGGATATAGCTATAAGCCCTAAGAAAGTGGTTAAATCATGTTTAATCACCACTGGTTGGTGGTTGATCAACCCCTCTGAAAAATATGAGTTTGTCAGTTGGGATGATTATTCCCAATCTATGGGAAGTCATAAAATTCATGTTCCAAACCACCAACCAGACCATGAACTTCCCATGAAACCTGAGAAATTCCTTGGTGAGCGCCCCTTGGGAGACCCCACTTCCGCCCTCGCTGCTTTGATTCACACAGGCAGAGCCCTTATGGATCACATACCTCGATGGATCAATTGGGAAGTTCCCGATAGGGAACATGGAAAAACATCGGCGTGTTCCATGGAAAAAACATGGAAAAATCATGTGAAAATTCATGGCAAAATCTCAGAAATATAGAAATATGGGACAAGTGTGGAAGTTTACATATTTCCAATCCATAGGAGTCCAAACATCCAAAATCATGGTCGAAACGGTTCCCAGGTACACGAGTCCGCCAGGTGGGGTAATGGATCCATCAATGTCGATGGCAATTCACTGGCGATTTTCGATGGGAACCATGGGATCATTCCATGGGATCCAGGGTATGTCTGAAAATGGGGTATACCCCCAATGAAATAGCCATTTTATCATGGGATTGGATAATGATCAGCAAAACCATTGGGAAAATGGGGTACACGATTTTCAGACAAACCCATATGGGATGATCCTAAAGATCCTAAAGGAAAAAACAGAACTCCGCCCAGCTTCCAGAGAGGTTTCTGCCGCACTTTGCCTCAGAAACGGATGAAGCCATACTGAGATGAGACTGTGAAGAAAAATGTGTTAGTAGATGTATTTGTCAAAAGTTGCATCGATGTATAGTACATCAACCTCCTCTTTTAAATGTCAACTTCCCTTTTTTTAAGATTTCTTAAGTGTGTTCCAAAGTCAATCAAATCAAGTGCCGAGTGGCCTTGGAAAAGCACACGACAACCAGGTTCGAAGTTCACGAGATCGTTGGCATAGGCAGCTAACTCCATTCTTTGCGACCTGGCTTGTCATTCAAGATCTGAGTCAAAAAAAATGCCTCTGGACCCATTTTTTCGGGGAAGGTGAACGATTTTTGGCACTTCTGCACACTTTCTAAAGGGATCTGATGCTTCTTAAGCATGAGTGCATATATACAGGATAGCTATTTGATAGATATTTATGTATAAAATATAGATATAGCAACTCTTAACATTAAGGGGGTTCTTTCACTCCCCATTTCCCTCCGCTTTTCCAATCACGGAACCCCGCCTTAGCAATGGAGTCAGAACATCCACCTGTCCGGGGTGCTTTAAGTCATGGAGGCCCCAGTTATCCTCCATTTTTTCTGTTGGGTTCCATGGAGTAAACCATCCAGCGATTGGGGCTGTGGTAGTTCCAAAGCCATATTGACAGCCATTGAGGAGCCGAAGTTCCTGGGGGGCAAAATGTGCTCAGATACAATCTAATATAATATATATATATATGATATGTAAACGACCAACTGTTTTTTTATGGTTGAGAATCACAACAATCACAACATCTTGGAAGAAACAACCCATTCGTCACCCTTTTGATCAAACGCGCAGTTCTATGAGTTCCCCTTGGTTCACCTGCAGCAGATCCAGCTGGTTTTCACCACAAAAAACGATGGAAAGATCCACCATGCTATGAAAATGGCTACATCAACTGGAACAGAGATCTTACCCTCTGGTAAACAGCCACATAACTATGGGAAAATCACCATGCTATTAATGGGTACATCAACTATGACTCGACTGGGCCATGCTATCAAGTTCGCAAACTGTTGACATAACCAGAGGGGAAATCCAGGAAGTCGGAATATGGGTAGTGGATGGTAGTGGATGGTGGATTGGTTGGGAGTTTCTGTGGTCGATTGACTTCGTGATCAGTAGAATCCTGTCAGGGACTAAGTGCTACAATGTGCAATCAATGTGCAATCAATGTGCTACATGAAACTCATCAAACTCCTTTGGTGACGCACAAATAGACATCCCTTGCCTCGTCCAGCAAATCGCAATAATCTTTGAACTTCCTTCGACCATTATCTCGACCTGGCGGAGGCAATTTGATGCGAAAAAAAAGCCATGGCCAGGCGTTGAAACAGACTAACGGGTACCACGACATGATACTACCTGATACTATCCATTTCTTTAAAGCTGACCTGCAATGTCCTTGAAGATCTTTCGGTTGATGACCTTACGAAACGACGATGGACGATGGTCGGAGTCCCAGGATCCCCGTGGCGCATCCCCTTGGCGCATCCCCTTGGCGCATCCCCTTGGCTTCGGGCAAACAAAGTCGTGTCTTCTTTGGCTCTGAAGGTTGCCTGGCAAATCCACGGAAAAAAAAAAGACATCACAAGACATCACAAGACATCACAAGACATTACAAGACATCACAAGACACTACAAGACATCAAGACACAATCAATTGATATCAATGGAAACATATTGAGGCCTGACAACTTTTACTCGATACCTGTCAATAAACCAACAAGGGCTTAAATTTATCCTCCACTCATCGACATCGAGAATTCTGTCCACAAGAAAATCCACGCCATCTCTGTCCGCGCCTCTCGTCGAATGTTGTACAACAAGGAAAGCTCCCCAAAGCTGTCACCGGTATGCAACGTGCTCAACACCTGCCATGTTGGGATGAACTTTGTTGGCCTGTCTCAATCTGTCCCATCTACCCCCATCGGTGAAGAAACATGTGCCACAGAAAAACCTTGGGACTGTGTGAATATATTTTTGCCAAAAGTGTATCCTAAGTTAAGGCCATTAGGCCATCTTAATGGAAAAATATGTGGAAAACGATGAGAAAAAACGATGAGAAATGAGGTGCACCACACACAGCGGTCCCAGTCCGAGCCTTCTCAATAGGCTCAGGTGCATCTATGGAGCAAGCACGCCCTGGCATCGTTGCAGTTGTAACAGTTGAACTCTCTATGAGCCTTCGTTTGGTGCAGTCTTATGTTGCATAAGAGAGTTCTGCAATGTTCTGCATCAAAACAATGCAGATATGACCATCCGGATATGACCAAGAGAAATTTAAGGATCCTTTGGATATCTCTGCGCTTGGATGTCTCTTGATCTCTCAACCGTGGCCTGTCTTGACCTAACCTTCCACCTGATGACCTACATAATCTTGTGTCCAGTCTTTTCTACTGCGCAAAAATCAAGTTCAGTGAAATCGAGAGTTTACCCAAGTAAATCCAAACTTTTCATCAGCCTTTTTCGGAATCTTGATGAATCTGCAACATCTATCGCATCTATGTGACTTCTTTGGTTGGTCATCCACATCTCCACCTCGTTTTGCGAAACCTTGGAGCGATGTCGCTGCCCAAATTGACCTAACAGGCTCGGAAAATTCGGAGGCCCAATCCTGTTGACCAAATTTGACCCCTCAGGATATCCATGGCCCCGTTTTCACCATGGCTTTCCTCAAAGAGCAATAGCAGGAGCCAATAGCTATCCACAACTTGGAAAAGTTGAGGGTCCAAAGGGGTCCCAAAGGGGTCCCAAAGGGGACCCAAAGGGGTCCCAAAGGGTCCTGTCATGGCAAGCCGGGTCTTTCCCCACCTGTCTTCATTGCTGGTGGTTTTGCGAAAGGCCGCAGGCCTTGGTTTTAGAGCAGCTTGAGGTCAGGCCTTAGTCACCTCCTGGTTTACCCAGTCGATGGGGATCATCATTCTGGAGACCAAGAAAAATCATTGATAAAGCCATGATAAACCAAGAGCCAGTATATGTTCCCGCCAAGCGGTTGGTTCTTTGCCAAGTGTCATCTTCCTTGAGGACTCTTCTTCCTCTTCCAGGCGGGGATCCTGTGGCTTAGACATCAAAGAAAACCAAAGAATTCTATCACGCACGGACGGAACAAGGACTTTTGATATCTATTGAGGATCATCTAAGTCCCAATAAGATCAATAAGTACCTGAGTGTAAGACATTGTAAGACCCAATAGATTCGAGGCCATCAAGGCCAATCCAATTCAATGGTTGACCACACCAGATGAAAAGATGTTCCATGCCTTCACCCCTTCACCTGTGGATGTCCACCCCGCCTTGGTCAAGACTGAGCAACTGCGATTGAGTCTCTTCTTTCTCTTATCCACCACCGGAATGTGCAACTTCATCAGAAAGTCCTGTTTCCTGTCAAAATCTAAAGGGTATTCATGGAATCCTCAGCAGCTCAAAAACTGGCTTTTCTGGTGTTTTAGCAGAGCTTTTCCAGCTTCAGTTTCTCCCATCAAAACGAGCCTTCTGATGCGATCCGCCATGGAAAATGCCGCCGCAGCAGCTGCTGCTGACGTCCCAGATTTCTGCGCAGTCATCTTTTCTGTAGTGATGACCACCTCGATGCTTCCTGTCCTGAAGCATCACAAATGGGTCATCCTTCACATGAACCTCGATAACATACATATACAGTAACCAGATCTTTAAAAACATGTTCATGATGTTCATGACTCACTACAATCAGATATCTAAACATCAAAACTGGATGTTGAAACATGTCGAAATAGAAAGAAAAACCACCTCCCCCTAGCAGTCAGGGTGAAGTCAGGGTGAATCTTGAATTCCACCTCATTCACTGGTGAAATTCATGTAGTAAACCCAATCATGAACCATCCCACAGAACGGGAGTCATGAAGCATCATGAAGCATCATGAAGCATCATGAAGCATCATGAAGCATCATGAAGCATCATGAAGCATCATGAAGCATCATGAAGCATCATGAAGCATCATCTCAATATTCTCAATGGTGTCCACTTATTTCATCATTTCATATAATTTCATAGACCTCTCATAGGATCGAGAAAATTCTGAGCAGCTGAGATCCAAACTCAATGACGAAGAATTCATCTCCAAGATCTCCAAACTTGGCCGCGGCGCTTCCCGCTTTCACCTTGCGGATCTCAGAGTCCGACACCTAAAGTGGCGGGTGGCTGGCCAAGGACGACTAGAAGCGAGTGCGGTGAAAAAGGGTCGGCCTTTTTTGGAGAAAATGATGCATAAACATAAACCATACATAAACCTACTATGTTATATATATATATATATCATTTTTCATTCTCATCGCATAAGTCGGACGAATATATATATATACCTATAAACTGATAACTGATAACTATATAAAACATCTGGAAAAAAAGTGAAGTCCGTTCTTTCTTTTGATGGTGTCCGTTGCCACTCCCAAATATCTCTGGCCGAAAAAAAGTCAACTCCGCGGTCTGTCTGAGGCGCGATATCCTTCATTGCCTCATGGCTCAGTTCGCTGCGGCCATCCACAAAGGCACGGAAATTGGGGTTGTTCTTCATGGAGCGAATGATGAAGTTCTGCTGTTCGTCGTTCAACATGGGACCTGACGAGATTTTTTGGGATCGAAGGCCTGCTGGTTTGTTGCCATGGGACCAATAGAGCCATGTAGACGGCAAGCCATTTTTGCCACAGCCAGTTGTGAGGTAACGTGGACCTAACATCAGGTAACATGGACTATTGAAGACTATTGGATTGAGGATAGGATTTCTATGGCAAGCAGTATTTCAACTCAAAGATCAGTGATCTGCTTTTTTCAAAGGGTCTACCGCTTCAGCCATCTGCCCAAATGAGCATCCATAGCCAACCCCCATCTTTGTAAACTCCCCATTGGTTGGCTAAAGAAATGGCGCCGAAACCAGTGCCTGGAAGAAATCCGGAGGGAAATTTCCTCGGAACAGGAGCGGCCCTAATTTCGCATTTATTTTTTGCCGCGGGTCAGCCTTCCCAAATCAGATGAATCCATATGAATTCAAATGACTCAATGGATTGGTAGGAAACCATGGCATCCATGGCTACCTTCCGGGACGAGCGAAAAATGACCCCGCCGAAAGTCTTCGGTGACAGCGGTGTTGTGGCTGAGAGCTGATTACAAGAGCCTGGCAGAGTCCGAGCTGATTTCCGGTGAGAAAAAAAAAGCCAACTGATGCGGGTTTGCTCCAAAAAATAAGGCAAACCAAGCAAAGGGGCAAACCTTTTTTATCGTTTCAAAATTAAAAGTATGGATTTGGAAAGAACCTAAAGAGCACTATCTAACTGAACAAAGCCAGTGCTGAAATTCCCAAGCTTCCAGCCTCCAGCTCCCATTTCGATGGCAGGTCGCTTGGGGAAGTGCAGTTGTGACTTCAAGCCGGACGCCTCAAAGACCTGCGGGCGAAAAAGAATCATGTTGGATCACCCAATGTTCAAGATGTTCATAATTCTTCATATATCATATAGAAATATAATATTTCTATATAGAAATAGAATATAATATATATATATATTATATTTAGATATACAATATAATATATATAGTATAATATAATATGTTTATATATCCTTTTTGTTGGGTCGGAAGCGTCCAAATCATGGTCCCAACAGCCATAAATCCCAGCGATTGCATCGGCACCTTTTTGGACATCGACAACGTCACGAGCGTGTCCGGCCCCAAGGCAATGACCGTGGCCATGTGCCTGGTGGAATCCCCCGGGATATGTCAAATGACGATAGAAATATCATGGAAACCAAGCAGATTTCATCGTTTCTATATAGAAATATCTAAATATCATAGGAATGTAACTTGACTATAGAAACCAATGTTCAAACAGATATATATATATATATAATCCAAGTTGTAGAAACGACATTGAAGAATCATTGAGAAAATCATCGAAGTACATCTAATATCCTGGTGTTTCTCCATCATATCCTGATTGGTCCTGGGTGTTATGGCTGAGTCGACATCTGACATCCCTGCCTCTGCTCCGTGACAATGGCTCGACCTTCCGCAAGGCATCCCAAGACGGAGAAGCTATGCACAAAATGCTCCGAAGCTAAGGATACCATGGATACCATGGATACCGATATTGGGGTAGCTTCTGAGGTACCTGAAATATCTGAAATGTCTTTCCACAAAATCTTGGCCATATATCAATAGATATCAATAGGCAACAGGATTCAAGAAGAATTCGTGAAGAGATGTGAAGAGAAGGCGCATGGTGCTCAGCACGGACCCACCTCCAATGTAATCACCAGCACTAAGAACGCCACAGGGATGCTCCTGCCAGTGCAAAGGTGGTGATCTTTGGCCAGTGGTGTGGATCTTTGGCCAGTGGTGTGCCACCCAAAAATAGCCCAAAATCATGTCCTCTCCCTGATCGTCTCGAACGACCAAAAGGGCTTGTCCCTCATAGATCATGAAGAAAGTGTCGCCCATGTCGCCTGCCAAGATTGCCGGGCAATTCCCAGGCCATACCTTGCCATACCTTGCCATACCTTGATCTTGAATCCACTTGAATCATCCAACAGCAAACCAACAACATCAACAACTACATCATGTTGAATTCATAGCTTAAAAGTACTAAGGCATCCATCAACAAGTACAGTTTTACAATCCAATTCAATCATGAATCATACCAGAATCTCTACATCTCTTTAACTATCTCAACATGTCATCACTTCATAATCACTTATACTTATAATCACTTCACTGAAATTTCCGCAAAAAAATCTTACGGAGATCTCCCATGGCGCCTTGGGACACCAGTTTCTCGTCGGGTTTCCAGGTGTGTTCCTCCAACATCTGCGCCACTTTGGGGAGCTCCGAGGTCGGGAGCTGCTTTTTAAAGAGCGGCACCGAGCCCAGAAAGGTCACGATCTGCTCAAACTTCTCGCGATCTTCCGTGAAACTCCTGATTTTTGGGACAAAAATCTCGTGAAAAATAGACCTGAACAATCCTGAACACAGTTGGACAATTTCGAAGTTCCACGAAAATACTGAGACCTCTGCGGTTGATTTTATCTTTTTGGGCAATATTTGGGCCAAGGCATGACAAAGGCAATGGCCGCTGGAACTTCCAAGATTGGCTTTTCTAGCCATAGCAAGCATGATATGAACCATCAGCCACTGACACGGCTCCTGAAGGTCAGTAGCCCAACAATACTATCTTTGAAGTATCGCCAGGAAACCAGGAGACCATCACAGCCTCAGGCTGGAGCCGCTACAAAAACAAAGATGCAGCCAGCAATCAGCTGAACTTTCCATCTGAGGCTGTTGCAACCTGGTTTTCCAGGTGTGATGGTCGTTGTTAGCTTCACTGAGATTGCTGGTGTTTTTCCTGAGAAAAGTTCACATGTGAAACACGCACAAAACAATGGACAACTGGAAAGCACTGGCAGTCCAACTGACAAAGATCTCATGGAATGCTCTCTGCTGAGCTCCGCGCCCGCTGGGAACTCGCCGGAAGGTGCGGCCGAGACCCGATCGGAGCTCACGGAGAGTGGAGACAGAGGTTCCGACGGGTCCTGTCGATCCTGCCGCTCCTCCACGGCGCCTTTGGGTAGCAGCAAGGCACGTTTCACCACCGGAGAATCATCCCCAGCTGCAGGTTGGACCACCTTCGGTTCCGCTTCTGGCGGCGCTCCCTCGGCTTGGGATGTTGGACCCGCCATCTCGGGCTTCGAAAAATCAGCCGCCTCAGCCGTCTCTGGCACCTCCAGGGTCTCTGGTGCCTCTGGTGCCTCTGGTGCTGCTGGTGCCTTGGCATCTTCCACAACCGGGGCTTCGGCTGCCGCCACCAGCACCGGCGCCACCGGCGACACCGGCGCCACCGGCGACACCGGCGCCACCGTTACCACCACGGGCACGGGAGAGGCACCCGGCAGCGGAGGCACCGGCGAGGAATCTCTGGTGGCCGGTGCTGTGCGGAGGCGCACCGGAAGGGTGATGGTTCCTCCACTTCTCGGGCCTGCCAACCAATGGCTGGAATGGCTACGGCCAATCGCTAAGAATTGGAAGAAAACCACAATTGGTGATAATTGGGGAGTATTTTGTATTACCAGTGCTGGATTTGTATTGACAGCATCTCAAAAGAGTAGTGATGGTTACGGCTACCATCCCAAGTTTCCAGGGCCTCCGTTCCAATCGCTAGGCACAAAGTGGCGCCCATTTTGCCTCAGGCCATGGCTCAAGACTATTGCCACTATGGGTCTCAATTCTTAGCGACCTACAAAAAATATGCAATGGCATGGCTCCATTACCCAGTACTCCTCTTTGAAACCACGGCATGCCAAAACCTGATGTGATTTCAGCGCTGATGCTCCTTCAGGTGTTCCTTTGTTTTGCCAAGTCGCAAAGGACTTGAAACCGTTTGTCTGGCGAAACGAGGATCATTGATTGTGTATCGGTGGACCTCAGAAAAGAGCGCTGTGACAGGCTGACGACTGTCAGTCAGAAAGGATGCTGACAGCTTTTTTCGACCAAGCGACCACAGCACCAGGAGGAATCCGAGACCAGATCGGCCGCCTTCAGCCATGAAATATCTGATGGATTTGTCCCAAAATGGGATGGCCTAAAATCCAATGGTCTATCATTATCATAATTTATGTATATATAAAAACATATAAAAACAGAGGTATACGTCCTATCAATGTCTACCCCAACAAAAAAAACATATCATCAGAGATTCACGGCTTGAAGTTCCCATGGATTCCTTAGCTCGGCACATGGAGTCAGAGGTCCCTCGGACAAAAGCTGCTGAGTTTTGCAAGGGATCAAGCTGCGCAGTTGCTCCTGGCATGATGAAACCAGCTGAGAACCCAAAACTTCCAAACACTTCCCTTTGAAATTGAGCGTTTTCCAGCAGTTTCGAAGCTTTTCGAAGCATTTCGGAGCGTTTCGAAGTGTTTCGAGCGCCTGCTACAACGCTTGGAGCACTGTTCTGCCGTGTGTGCAACACCTGAGTTTCTCTGGCGGTTCATCCAACAGGTTCCGTTCCGGGTTCCGTTCCGGGTTCCAAGGACCCGTTCCAAGGAAACGACGCGCACAGAAGGCACTGGCAGCTGGGACATCTGCAGAGGCATCGCAGATGGCGATCCTGGAAAAAGTGCCGAAAGCCAGCGGCAGGGAAAAAATGAGGGAGGAAAATATGGGAAATGTATGGGAAATGTATGGGAAATGTACGGGAAATGTATGGGAAATGTTCTCACAAGGAAAACACGGGCAAGGTTTGGAAGTGCCAACTGGCTGCATGAAAACACGGCACTACAATAGTCACTAAAAGAGCGGAAGAACGAGTAACTCGTTCCGAAACAGTGTCTGCAGCTGCATTCTGTCCTTGCACCATCGTCATGCTAACACGACTCTTGTCAATTGTTAGAAAATACTTAGCATCAATCTTTGTCATCATGTTTCTATCTTGCCGGTATCATGTAGCTATCTTGTTGCTTCAAGACTCACCAAGGTGAATATGGGGCCTGCTGTGGCTCTACAATTTCCACTGAGTATTGCACTCTCCCTACAGCTGTGAGCCCATGAAGCAGGGGTGACCGCTGGGTCAACATCCTAGAACTCAAACCGCTGGGTGGTTCTGCACCTGGCCAAAATGACCACATTGCTTCAAAAGCCTCACCATTCTCAAGCCAAGCCCCTGAGCTTTCCGCGAGGCTGTGGCCATAAGAACAAAGATACAAACGAAGAGAGAACAATAAGCATCCGCCTCAAAAGACAGGATTTCTCCAGTTTCAGGATCACCCCAAAAAACTTTCCAAATAAGAAATGCCCGCAGTGTGAGCAAGCTCACACCTATATATCTTACCTGGTTCGTCCAAACACTTGCAGTACGGCTGGAGATTAGTGACCCCCAACATGGCTGAATCCGAAAAAATTGACTATCTGTCTATGGCTCCGCAAAGGTAACCCCCAGGACTTGACGCATACCAATATCCATACAGCGTCCTCGTTTATTGCTATAAGGGTGATGATTTGTTTTAGGATTGATTTTTGTTTTTCATTCTGGGGCAGTTTTCCTTCGTATTTGCTACATTTTGGGGCTGAAATCTCTGATTTGAGTGCTATTTGCTGCATTTTGGAGCTAAAATCTCTCTGATTTGCGTGCTATGTGCTGCGTTTTTGACCTAAAATCTCTCATGTTGCATCCTATTTGCAGCATTTCGGAGCTGAAGTCACAAATTTGGGTAGCTAAAATCGTAAATTTGCACGAGAATTGCAACATTTTAGTTTTCACCCATTTTCCCATGGTTTTCAACGATGTCTGGATGGTTTTCATCGCTTTCTAGATCGTCTTCAATGATCTTTCCGTGGTTTCAAAGATTCTTTAGGCTTTCTTCTAGGGTTCTTGAGGGTTTTAGGTTTCATTTAGGGTTTCTTTAGGGTTTCATTGAGGGTTTCTTTAGGGTGTCGTTTAGGGTTTCTTTAGGGTTTCTTTTAAGGTTTCTTTAGGGTTTCTTTAGGGTTTCATTGAGGGTTTTTTTAGGGTTTCTTTAGGGTTTCATTGAGGGTTTCTTTAGGGTGTCGTTTAGGGTTTCTTTTAAGGTTTCTGTAGGGTTTATTCAGGGTTTCTTTAGGATTCTATTTAGGGTTTCTTTAGGATTTTATTTAGGGTTTCTTTAGGATGTCATTAGGGTTCATTTAGGGCTTCATTTAGGGTTTCTTTAGCGTTTCATTCAGGGCTTCTTTAGGGTTTAATTTAGGGGTTCTTTAGGGTTCCTTTTAAGGTTTCTTTAGGGTGTCGTTTAGGGTTCTTTAGGTTTTTTCATTGATGGTTTCGTTATTTTCTTACAACAGCATGCATACAAGCTCCTATACTCTATGTCTGTAGTTTTTGTGCAGTTTACATGAAATATATATGCAATGTATTACATGACATGTTATATGCAAACTACAATACTAAAACCCAACAAACGCCAAGAGCCAAGTGAAGTGAACGGCCAAAACGAAAGCCAAGTGAAGCAAAAACCAAAAGCCAAAAGCCATGAGCCATAAGCCAAGTGAAGCCAAAGCCAAAAGCCAAAGCCAAAAGCCAAAAGCCAAAAGCCAAGTGGGCACGCAAAGGGAGATTCTAGCTCCAAAATGCATGCAAAGCATAGATTTTAGCTCCAAAATGCAGCAAATAGCAAGGAAAGCTGCCCCAGGCTGGAAAACAAAAGTTTCTTAGAAAACACAAAAAACAGTACCCTCCTTACTATAAATTGGGAACGAAATCCAGCAATTTTTGTTAGCTATTTCCCATCATACCAAATCACATCCCCGTAGATATGTTTCAACATGTCCATCATGATGATGATGATGATGATGATGACTCTAACAACGACCGAGTCTTAAGAATCCCAGCGTTTTCCATCCTTCCTTCATCATTTTTCCAGTGTTTCCCACCGTGGAATTTTGGCTTTCCTGCCTTGGCGGCGTCCACCACGTTGGCCTCGGCCAAGATGCCGGCCAGCAGCACGGCCAAGCCGCGGACCTGAAAATTCTGCAAGGTGGATTTCAGGCCCAATCTCCTGGGGATCAAACAAAAAAATGTGCTGTTTACCAGGCTGGTCAGGTGAAGATAGTCTGAAAATGTCTGAAACCATCCAATCTTGGGGAAAAATGAACTGTTTCAACTGGTTCAACTGTTTCAACTGTTTCAACCAAACATAGGTCAAACATAGGTCAAACATAGGTCAAACATAGGTCAAACATAGGTCAAAGCAAACCCCCCTGAGACTGCGTCCATGTCAGCGCCCAAGTGCGCTAACGCTCCAAACAGGTTCAGATTCGAAGTGTCCTTCGGCGACATGGCCATCAATATTCTGGCATCCATTTTTTGGGGAATGGTTGAAGAAAACTGGGGCTCCTTTACTGGACCTTCCAAATCTGGCATCCAATTTTGGGGGGAATGGAAAGAATGGAAACTGGACCGATAGGGCCAAATATCACCAATATATATCACTTCCTGGCCGTGAAAGTTATTTCAGCTGATCCATCTCTCATGAAAAATGCTCAAACCATGTGCGTTTGTCGCTGGATGCGTTCAAATGAACACGAACAGGAATTATTTTTACATTTGTTACCCCCAACTCTAATGTTTCCTGTTGATGTTCGTTTGAACCAACTCTAGGATGTTGTCCCAACACTCCAAACATTTTTTTGATGCATCCGACATGTTGAACTTGATAAATCCCCTGACCACATCCACCCAAAATGGGTTTTTCCATTGTAAACTTGATCCAACCAACGAACCTGAATGCACAGTACGTAAAACCGTAAAACAGTTTTTCGAAACAAATTATGACAACAGTCTTGCAAATTTCCCCTGTTAGCATACCATCGTACACCGGAGTGGGGAGTGTGTGGGGATGCAGGGTGTAAAATGGGGACTGTAGAGTGTGAAGTGTAAAAGCGTAGTGTGGATTGTGGTGTGTGTGGGTGCGTAGTGTAGTGTAGTGTAGTGTAGTGTAGAATTGTGTCGTGTCGTGTCGTGTTGTGTTGTGTTGTTCTGTGTTGTGTTGTGTTGTGTTTGTGTGTGTGTGCGCGGAGTGAGTGTGTGGAGTGTGGAGTGTAGAGTGGAGTGTGGAGTGATGTATAGAGTGTGGAGTGCGGAGTGCGGAGGGTGAAGTGGGGACTGTAGATTGTAGAGTGTGGAGCGTGGAGCGTGGCGTGTAGAGTGTGGAGTGTAAAGTGGAGTGTGGAGGGCAACAGGAGCACTTCGGCACACAGTCCGAGCCATCACCTCAAAACACGCCTGTTTTGCATCACTTCGGAACACACTTCTGGCCATCACTTCAAAACACATCCTCATTTCAGCTTCAATGGCTCATTCCACTCTTCCTGGTCTTGGGGGATCTTGTGCTCACCTAGCCATTTAGGGTGGATTTTGCGGGAGAGAAGGGCTTGGTTCTGAACCAGCCATTTAGGGTTTATGTGGGGAAGGGGAGAGACGGTTGCGCTCCACCCCCAAACCGCCATAGTTAAACAAGAACCCTTCGCTACGCATTCGGGAAAAATGCTACAAACCATAGAGTTTTGTCAAAAAAAATAAGGTTCCCCCCTTTTTCAGGAGTTGATCATCCAGTTTTCCCATATTTTGCCATTAAAAAAACTTTTAAAAAAACGGCAGCATTTGGATGCCCAAGTTATGAACAGCCCCTTTTAAGGATTCAGCTGTCCTCCTCCTCCAACACCTGAGAGGCTCCACAATTCCAGGCACAAAATGCCTCGAGATGGCTTTTTTTCAGAATGGGAAACTTGATGGTAAACTGGTAAGCCCTGGAGACAGAAGGATGGAAGATGATGGAAGGGGGTTCAAATTCTCAAGCACCATGTTTTGTAAATTTGTTTCAAATGGCGTCTCGTTCGCCTTTATAACCTTTTTGGGGCATGGTCCATCTACACACCCCTGTGGTCATGGAAAAATTGGAGACTCCATCAGGATGAACGGAAAACCCCAAACCCTGAGAGCCCGGCAACCATCAAATCTGCTGCCAGGTTTACGGCTGTAAAAATGATCATGATGTCACTGTTTACCTCTCAATCTGCAGAGGCGACGTTTGCTTTTGGAAATTTTGAACACAGAGAAATCAGTGAAGCAGACCATCTCTGCACTTTGGCCTCTATGTCGTGGAGTTGCGACATGCCATTCACCTACCGGAGCAAGTTCCTTGTTGGAACTAACCGCCATACACACCTATTTTTGTGGTGCTCAAGACCCACTATTTCCGATCAGCATCGATCAGCTAACGACCGGGGTGGAAAAAAATGGTATGGCAGGTTTGTGGCGGGCTGCACGGATTTACCGCAATACCAAAAATGACGCCGGCAAGAGGCAAACAGTGGAAGGAAGTCAATGTACCAGATTTTTAAGCAACAGTAACTATGGAACACGAACAGGTCAGGTTAGACATTATCACAACTGCAGCTGCAGGCACTTGTTATGGCATAAGGAGCAACGCTATGTCATCAAGACCTCAAACCAGAACCTCATACCAGGACTTCTAAGAAAATTTCAAAAGATCGTCAAAGAAGGACCTTCTATATACAGTAGAGGATCTCACAAGATCCGACAAGAACCTCCCATGAGAATCCCAGAACTTTGGTAATTTCATGGAATCCTACAAGATCTTAATTTTGAGGACTTCTTGAAGATTTCAACAGGATCTTCACAAGATCTTCTCACGACGGGACTTTGCAAAGAAGATTTCACCATATTTCACCAGGATCTTCACCAGTATCTCGACAAGATCTCACAAAGAATTCTAGACCTTGACCAAGATCTTCCAGCTACAGCGCCCCTAAAAAGAGAATCCCCTGAGATCATCATAAAAGGACCTGCTGCTGGAGGTCCAGCAAAAAGGATCTTGATACAAAAACCTCCCAAGGGGGAGCACAGAAGAGCTTTCATAGGCAGGAAGTTTCCAATGTTCTCTATCTTCAGCAATTGGGTGAAGGAGATTAATGTATCATAATGTATCTAGTAGTATTGTACCACATTGTACCACTGTTTCATGCTGGAAGAGTATTGCTTGAGCTCAATAGTGAAGTGTAGATAAACAGAGGGGAAAAAAACACCAGTGGAGGAGAGTTTTGGTCAGGCCAATGTGCACGAGGGGCACCACAGAAAGGGGCAATATGGGGCAATGCGTAGAGAGCGTGAGTGGACACACTGTTTGGGGAAAAAATACACAGAAATCAACCAAAACACCAAAACCTGCAATTCGAAGCAAAAAAATGCATCCACCAAATCTGGAGCACCTCAATGGCAGCTTCCCTTTCTTCCCCCAACAGCCGCTCGATCACATCGAAGAGAACCCAAGCCCTGTAAGGAAGCTGTGGGTATCATGGGATCACCATGGCATACATCTGGGATTTCTGGATACGCATGGGAAGTATGCTTAGGGCTTAGGAAATACTGTGTTTTTTTGAAAATAGGCTGGGCATGGTACCCCAAAACCTCTTCGGAAAAATACGTTTCAACGCTGCTGCCGGGCTCTTATTGAAAGAACAAAGGCAACCATATTTTTTGTAATAGCCGTACATCTCCCATATGATTGCATATATCGTCATATTTCCAACCTGTCAAAGGTACATTCACATTTCCTGAACATTCCGCATTGGAAATACCCTCCAGTAATCAAACGCGGCAAATAAAAATCAGCGACATGCAGGTTTATGGCTGCGAAAATCATCGCAATGGAGGAGTTTCCAGCCACGTTTCGTTGCTACACGGACGCCATTGCTTTGGACAAACGACGATCTCAGCACTTCACGTGGTGGCCGCCAACATGGCTGCACTGAAGAAGGCGGCCTCAGCGGTGGTTCCCCGCGCCACAAAGGTGGAAAGATGTGGGATGCCTGAGATCATGGCCCTCTTGTCCAAACGCGTTGCATCCTGAAGATTTAACGGAGATTCTTTGGTGATTTCGTTCTTTTAGGGATTTTTGAAATAAATGGTTCCCCTGATAATCAAAAACCCATTGGAAGATACAGGGACTCTCATGGGAATATCATGAGGATATTCTGAATATACGGCCTCCGCAGAAGACTTGCGCTTCTCTGCATAGAGACTGACGGCATAAGATGCCTTAGCAACTCGATGGGTCGTACGGATTTATGGCAATTTTAAGTGCTGTGTTCAGAGTACATAACATGCATTCCAATCCCCTTTTTGTCATTTTCCATGTTAATTCAGACCCAGCTGTTTCTTTTCATTTGCGGCTGTCACCGAAGCTGCTTTTCAATCAAAGCCCAACTGCTGCTGACTTGCAGCCATAGCGACCTGAAAAAGACCAACAAGCAGGCGCGATTTCTTGGTGGTGGAGTTTAAGGAGGTTAAGAATCTGGGCACCTACAACAGTAGGTTATGAGCCCAACGTGCCACAGTGGCTCCAGATGATGATGCAGCGAAGACGGGCTACAACAGAAGAGCTAGCTCAAGGAGAAGATGAAATCCGACGAGCTAACCAACGTATGGAGGCAGAGCTGGCCAGTGGAGCTGAGCTGCAGTTATAAAACAAAGAAAGGTCTGAGGCAGAGGGTTTTGAGTCCCCCGGAAATCCAAAGGATAAAAGTCTGGGAAGTGAGGAGAAGCCGAAAAGTGCCCCGAAATCTTTCTTTCCTCCTGGTGCAGAAAAGGCATCACAGGAGTCAGCTGCGAAGTCGTCAGGTTCAGCGAAGTCAGTTCCTGCCACACCAAGGAAAACTCAGGTATCACCATCAGAACGTTCCGAACTGCAGCAGAACCCTCAGTCTGCCCCAGGTTCAAATCAAGCGGTTGTTTTGGCATCCACCGAAGTTGTCAAGACTCCTGAGACCTCTGCGGCAATGGTGGTATCAAATGTGCAGGGCATGTCAAATGGACCTCAACATGCGGAAAATGATTCTGGGCGAGCGCATCAAGTTGTTTCTGTGGAAGCCACACCTGCTGCCCAATCCAATGTTTCTTCAGTTCCTCTTTTTGATGAAAGCCAGATTCGAAGATTCCAGGAAATCTACAACCAAGCACCTTGGCTCTATCCAGGGAATCAGCTGTTGGGACCACCCGCAATGGTGCCACAACCGATAACAAGACCTTTGTTTTTGGAGCAAGATGAGCGTAGAGTCCATGGAGTTGGGATGGTTGGGGATCAAGCTTCATACCTGTTTCCATACATGCCTCAACCTGGTCCCTCTGAACATGCTGAACTTAGAAGGGAATTGGAAAGAATCATGGAAGAAAATCAAAAATTGAGGGCTAGAATTGAAACGTTGGAAAGCATGCGAGTAGATGATGATCAGAAGTTTTCCACCCCGGAAGAACCCAAAAAGGAGGCTGTAGACCCCCACTCAAAGGAGGCTGCAGGTTCCCGTGTCAAGGAGGCTGTAGACCCCCACTCAAAGGAGGTTGCAGGCTCACCCTCAAAGGAGGCTGTAGACCCCCACTCAAAGGAGGCTGCAGGCTCACCCTCAAAGGAGGCTGCAGACCCCCACTTTAAGGAGGCTGTGAGACCACCAAAGACCGAAGCTCAGGATCCACGAAGTTTCAAAGCTGAGGAGGCTGTGAGACCCCCAAAGCATGAAGCCGAAGATTCGAGGAGCTCTCAACCAAAGGAGGCTGCAGACCCCCAAAGTCAAAGACCTAAAGATGATGGAAGTGGAGCCAACACCGCTTTCACTGAGCGATCTTTGGAGTTCATGGCACTCATGATGGACTCCATGAAGGAGATGCACAAGCGCCTCAACGAGCCAAAGGACGAAGGCGTGATCAAAGGAGTTGAAACGGTGAGGTCTGGAGCTCCAGATCTCCCCTTGCTGGCTCCGTGGGAGCCCCAACAAGGACCCTTGATCCTTGGAGACTGGCTGTTGATCATCGAGCCCATCATCTCAGACCTCTCAACGTCTGCGAGCGTGTGGTGGAAGACATCGGTGTCAGCAGCTGAAGCCTGGTACAAGGTGCACATGGCCCTGTCTCCTCTGGACAGGATTCAACACAAGGTTGAGACACCTGAAGAAGTGCTTCAACAAAAATGGGAAAGGTTGGAAAGAAGGGTTGCGACTATGCTTCTTCAAGCCCTTCCACAAGAAGTTCGTGGTGAATTGGTGGCTGCCAGAAGGCTCACCACCTTTGGTGTCATCACGCACTTGCTGGTGACATACAGCCCTGGCGGAATCTCTGAGAAACAGAACTTGCTCCGGAACCTTGAAGACCCTCCGGAGATTCAAACTGTCCAAGATGGTCCAGCAGCTCTACGACGTTGGCTCCGCTGGCGACACCGAGCTAAAGATATCGGGGCGATAGCTCCTGATCCGAGTCTCCAACTTCGAGGACTCTTGAAGATGTCAAAGAAGACCCTTGAAGCGCACCGAGAACTTCAGTTTCGTGTGAGCCTTGTGAGGAGTGGTTTACAAGTGGACACGGTTCACAACGACACCAATGTGGAGCAGTTCGCATACCACCTCCTTGCTGAATATGAGCAGCTCTCGATCTCTGAAAAGCGCCCTGGGGGAAATGCAACTACATCCAAGCAGGATGCCACAAAAGCCAAACAGAATGAAGTCGAAAAGCCGAAGGCTGCGAAGCTTCGAAAGTTGGAGGAGGATGCAAGGTCCCCCACAAAGAGAAGCGAAGAAGGAGAGACAAGAGGAAAGTGCAAGTTCTACCTTTCTGATCAAGGATGCAGGAGGGGAAAGGCTTGTCAATGGTCTCATGACCAAAAAGATGAAAGGAGAAGATGTTGGAATTGCGGGAGCCCAGAACACATGTCTCCTGCGTGCCCAAGACCGAAAGAAAGAGGAGAGTCCTCACCGCAGAAGCCAAAGGTTCAGAAGGTTGAGGGGGAGGACACTTCGTCAACAAGCTCAAAGTTGAAAGAAGATGAAGGGACTGAAGGTCCAACCATGAAGGAACTTCTGGAACAGGCCAACACTATGTTGAAGTCCTTGACCACTTCCAGTGCGACTTCCTCCCAAAGCCAATCTGGTGGGGAATCAAAAGAGGAGATGATGGATCGTCTTCAACAACAACTGGATCGAATGAAGCTGAAAGGCCTCAAGATCAACCAGATCAACTACGGCAGCCAACAGGGATTGGTTGACTCAGGTGCCACACACCCATTGCGTCCAATGCGTCTGGGTGAATCCAAGAACGACTACAAGAAGGTCTCTGTGACCCTTGCCAACGGTGAGAGCACTGCCCTTCAAGTTACTCCAGGTGGTGTGATGGTCTCCGAGCGCAAAGATGTCGAGCCTATCATCCCCATGGGTATGCTGGTGCAAAAGCTTGGATGCAGGGTTGATTGGAACCAAGGAACACTTCAAATCCATCATCCTGATCGTGGGCTTCTACCAGTACAACCTCAAGAGGGGTGCCCTCAAATCCCAAGAGCTCTTGCTCTTGAACTCATAGATGAGCTGGAGACGAAAGCACTCCAGTCCAAGCCTGAAGAGAAGAAGTTTGAGAAGGAAAAGATTTGGATGCAAGCTCTGGTCGAAGCTCACCCTGTCCTTCGACAACTACCAGCGGAAATCAAGAAGCGCTTGGTGGTGGATGTTGGATCCTGGCGTGATCTCCCTGTCAACCGACGTCAACGACGAAGACTTCAACGGGATGGCTTCATTGCTCATCTCTATGCAGGGGAGTCTGAAGGGTTCACATTGACAAGAGCCTACCAGCAACAGGGTGGGAATCCAGCTGACATCCTCGAGGTGGACATCAAACGTGGGGAGAATCACAATCTCCTCATGGACTCTGGAGTCTATAGCGGTTTGCTGTGTGCTGTGATGAGCGATAAGGTCGAGGCCTTCATCGCTGGACCCAACTGCAGAACAAGGTCAGTTTTGAGGCACTATCCAAAAGAAAATGCTCCGCGACCAGTAAGGGCGTGGGGAGGTGAAGAATTTGGCCTCAAAGATCTTTCTGAACAAGAGCGCTTGCAGGTGTTTGAGGACGACGTCTTGATGTGGAGGTTCATCTTTCTTTGGATGGTGGCCACATACATCAGAGAAGCCAAACAAGTTCAACGACCAATTGGATTCCTCCTGGAACAGCCTGCAACGCCCAAAGAGTACATGCCTCAATGCGTGTCGTTTTGGGACACCAATGAATGGAAGCTCTTGCGAGATGAGTTCAACTTTGAGGAGACCACGTTTTGTCAAGGACACCATGGAGGAGCGGCCTTGAAACCAACAACAATGGGTGGCAACATGCACCTCAACGTCGACAGCCATCGAATGAGAAGACCAACCTCCGTGGACATCAGGTCTTCTGCTCAGCTCTCAAGATGGGCTCCGGGCACAATGAACATGGTGGCCGAGTCTTTGATGCTGCAGGTGAAGTGCCAGCCTTTGAAGATGTGCCCTCTCAGCTGGGATGAGCACATAGCACACGGCCATACGCCATACCGGCGAGACTGCCTGGTTTGTCAACAAACCATGCAACAACAGCACCCACATCGAAAAGTACCATATCCAGTCGGAGGAGTTCTCTCGCTGGATGTTGCAGGTCCTCTGATTCCTGCCAAGGACCTGGGTGGCTTGCGAGCTCGTTGGATGCTGGTTGGAACTCTGACATGGGCCGTGCCAGCCGAGTCAAACAAGCTCCAAGATGCTCATGTTCCACAAGCTGACGGAGACGAACCTCACTTTGAGGTTCACCCTGAAGAAGAAGAAGGGGCCCAAGCCCTTGAAGATAAAAGAGAAGAACGAAGTGAGGCTGAAGAAGAAGAAGGAGGAAAGGTAGAAGTTTGGGGTGAAGAAGATGAGGAAACGAAAGAGGATGAGCTCTCTCAAAAACCTCATCCAGTGCCGCCATATCTACTACCACCTTCACAACCGAAAGATGGAGAAAAAGAACTTCAACCAGGTGGCTTTGACACCAAGATCTTCCGCCTGGCCTCTCCGATGATCACCAAGACAGCAAGGGAGGTGACAAGAACCACAATGGACATGCTCCTCAGGCTTCGCATGGATGGTTTCCACATCGGTCGCATCCATAGCGACAGGGGAAGGGAGTTTGCCGGCCAGTTCAAAAAATGGGCCAACTCGCGGGGCATAGCTTTGTCTCGCACCTCGGGCGATGATCCCAGAGCAAATGGCCGAGTTGAAGTAGCCATCAAGACCCTCAAGACTCAGGTGAGGCGATTGCTGAAAGCTGCTGACGTTGGCAGTGAACTCTGGCCCCTTGCAGCTCGATATGCTGATGCCCTGAACAGAAGCTGGAGGATTGGAGAAGAGCCGAAGTTTCCACCTTTTTTGCAAGAGGTTTTGGTGAGGAGAAGAACATGGAGAAAGGGTGTTTTTGAGCCCACGACGGAAACGGTTCAATACCTTTTTCCAGCAACAGAAGAACATGGCCACTGGATCCTTCCGAAGGATGAGCCGCCACGAGTGACGAGGTATGTCATGAAGAAGGCCAAAGACCCCGTCTCTGAGCACCAATGGCTCGCCTTGGAAAAGGACACCGTGGATGCCCTCTTGGTCCGCCGAAGACTTCGAGGAAAATCAGCGATCAGAAAGATCGAAGAAGATGATGTTGAAGAGAAAGAAAGAGAAGATCAAAAGAAAAGGAGGATCAACTACATAAGGGTCATCGAAGATGAGATGAAAATGATGATCAATGATGATCCTGAAACAGTGATGGATGAGATGGCCATTTTGGCCAACATGAGGAAGATGGCAGCTGAGACGAATGAAGGAGAAGAGGTCTTACAGACACGAATTGTGTCACCACGTGAAGTGGCCGAAAACTGGAGCGATTGGCTCCCGGCCATCACCAATGAGGTTGACTCCTTGCTCAAAGAAAAGGAGGCCTTCAGAGAAATCTATCCAGAGGAACTCCACAAGTTGCAAAAGGAGGCTGAAAGGTCAGGAAAGGGGATTGAGTTCATCCCATCCAAGCTGGTCTTTACCAGAAAGCCAGGGCCAGAAGGAGGAAAGAAAAAGATGAGGTGGGTTGTTTGTGGCAACTTGGAACCAAAGAAAGAACAGGAGGACAACTTCAGTTCAGGTGCAGATGCCTCCGCCCTGCGCATTCTATGTTGGTGCTGCGCACTTTACCAATGGGTTGCTTCAACTCTCGATGTGCGCACAGCCTTCCTCAACGCCAAGATGGTATTGGCCGATGATGAGGATCCAATCCTGATCAAACCTCCTGCTCTCCTGGTCGAGAAGAAGTACCTGAGAAGGGATGTCTACTACCTGCCTGAAAAAGCGATCTACGGGTTGCGACGGTCTCCAAGACTGTGGGGCCTCACCAGAGATGAGACCATCTCTGACTTCTCAATCCAGGGGGAGCACAATGGAAAGCACATGGAGTTCATGCTGGAGCCTTTGCAGTCCGAACCCAACTTGTGGAAACTGCGAAATGCCCTTGAACCAGAAGACACCACTCTGTATGGTCTTTTGATGACTTACGTGGATGACTTGATGCTGGCATCATCTCCAAACTTACTCCAAGCCATGCAGGCCAAGATCCAATCGACATGGACCACTTCAACACCAGAGTTTGTCGGCCCGGAACCTGTCAGATTTCTGGGAATGGAGATTTCAAAAGAATGGAAGGAGGAGTTTCAAAGAGATGTTTGGATGGTGACGCAGCAGTCCTACACCAAGGACCTCACACAAAAGGATCCTGAAGTCAAGCCAAAACGGATCCCTTTGACCAGAGATCAATCAGCCATGGAACCGAATGAGGCTGAGATCACACCTGAGCTGATTCGCTCCTGTCAAAAAGCTGTTGGCGAAGTCTTGTGGCTGACAACCCGGGCACGGCCAGACGTCATGTACGCCGTAAGCCGCATGGGTTCGTCATCGACGAGGGCACCACATGCCGTTTTGGCAGCCGCACTCCAGCTCAAAGGCTACCTGATGGCCACTTCAGATGAAGGGTTGATGTTCAATGTGAAAGAAGGTGAAAGCCCCGTTTTGACGGTGTACACTGATGCAGGTTTTGCACCGGATGCACAGGAGAGCCATGGATCATTTGTGGTCCTGCTGGGCACAACTCCAATTTTCTGGAGGTCGGGCCGCCAGAGCTACATCACGCTCTCAACTGCTGAAGCAGAACTCACTGAGATCGTGGAGGGCATGATAGCTGGTGAATCGATCTACGTGATCCTGGCAGAGCTCTTCCCTGTGGTCCACAAGCTTCTCAAAACTGACAGCCAGTCAGCACTTGCCATCTTGTCCAATGATGGTGGTAACTGGCGAACCCGCCATTTGAGGCTGAGGTGCTCCTTCGCAAGGCAGTCGATCCTTGCGGGTGAATGGGTCATCCAGCATGTGGCTGGTGAGTTTATGATTGCCGACATCGGCACCAAGCCACTCACAGCGGCACGACTTGAGTTCCTCAAAAAGTTGATGGGGATGGGAAAATTGGTAATCAAAGATGAAGTGAAAAGTATGGAAGTTGAAGAAAAGAAAGAAGGAGAAAAGCAGGACGGTCTTTTGACCACCAAGGAAAAGACCAAAGTCGCGGAAGCAGCCCAAGTTTTGAGGCTGATCACTCTTGCAGCGTCAATTGCTGCAGCCAAAGCGGAAGAGGGGGAGAAGGAGCACAAAGAGAACTATCCTTTTGAGGTCATCATTGCCTACACCTTGGGCATCATCATTTTGACGTTGGTGGCACAGCGAATCTGGAATGCAGCAGTACGAGGGGTCATCGTCGTACGACAGTATGTTTTGGCCAACCTTGGAAGACTCTCCATGAACGCTGTGCGAAAGGAGGAAGAGATCCCCGAAGGAGATCAATCTGAATCGCTCCCGGCATCAAATGAAAGCCGGTCCACCGACTCAAATGATGGTGATCAAGTACCACCTCAAGCTCCGCTTCCAATTCCTACCCAGACTGGAATTCTTCCTGGGTATATTGCGAACGTGGCTCAGACTGGAATATTTCCTGGGCCTGAGTCCGAGGTGATCCAGACTGGAATAATTCCTGGATCCGACTCACGAATGACCCAGACTGGAACATTTCCTGGGTTTAACGATCGCGATGCCCAGACTGGAACGATTCCTGGGCATGAGACATCGGCACTTTTTCAAAGTCAAGAAGAACGAGCCGCTGCTCTCGAGATGCTTCGCCAACATGATACGACGATGGTTAACTACGAGGCTGACTGGAATCAAATTCTCAGAGAAGAAGATCGAGTTCGTGATGAGCTCACCAATGCTCAGCCGGGACATCCCATTTTGGGACCTATGAATCCTCCACAAGCTGAACCAGCGCTACCACTCCTGCCCTTCGAAGTGATCACTACGCGGCATGGAACCGTGTATCACAATCGGTTGGACTGCCGGTATCTCACTGCGCCAATGACTGGACATGCGCGACTCCATCGATGGTGCACCAAGTGTCGAGCCGAAGCAGCCCAGACTGGAAGAGTTCCTGGGCATGGATTTGCAGTGCTGATCAGCGGCCGAGAGATCGATTTTCATACTGATGTGACATGTGAAGAAGCTGAAAGAGCTTCCACTTTTGCACTCTGCACTGCATGCCTTGATGGTACTTGAATATAGCAGCTTGAGCTGGGCCGAATGTATTTTGATTGAAGTGCCTGACGGCTACTTCAAAGGGGGAGTGCTGTGTTCAGAGTACATAACATGCATTCCAATCCCCTTTTTGTCATTTTCCATGTTAATTCAGACCCAGCTGTTTCTTTTCATTTGCGGCTGTCACCGAAGCTGCTTTTCAATCAAAGCCCAACTGCTGCTGACTTGCAGCCATAGCGACCTGAAAAAGACCAACAAGCAGGCGCGATTTCTTGGTGGTGGAGTTTAAGGAGGTTAAGAATCTGGGCACCTACAACAGTATTAAGCATTTAAGCACCAAGGATCACCATTGAGAATGTAATGGCGATTGCTGTTTGGATTGTTTGGATGTTTTTTTCTGAACGAATTTTGGAATGTTGGAATTGGTTTCCCAACATTTTCGAGACAAATCTGAAAAACTGAGAAACCCACACCATCCATAGCCATCAACGCACCGTCGCCCAAGAGGGAAAGAGAATTCCTGCCATCAACCCATCAACGCCGCGTGCCCATTCCTGCTGGAAATTTCCTGGAAATCCGAAACATCGATCTGATCTGGGACGCCGGACGCTAAGAGGCCAAAAAAGATCTGCAAACCTGGAAACAGCCGCATTTTTTGTGTTCAATGGCTGTGTTTTTTTCAATCAAAATCCCTATGGAGCGGAAAAAAACCACAGGAAATTCCACAGCAATTTTGTTACTGGTTTAAGATGCCCAAAGACATCCATGCAGACTCTCCGCCTGTTAAAATGCTGTTCACGCCGAACATTAACCAAAGCGCGCGCTCCTCAGGATTCTCTGCGAAAAAATCAAGACACTGAAGCATAAACAAGAATGTGTTTCAAGCAAGGGAATCAAACAAACTTCCCCAACAGTTTGAAAGCTTCTGCGTTTTTGCCATAAACTTTGTTTATGCCATAAAAGTTAAGCGTTTATGCCATAAAAATAAGTGTTTAAGTATGCCATGAAAAAAAAAAACGAACCCTTTGGAATTTCACAAAGCATCTGCACCAGAACCCTCCGGAACCTTACAAGGTATCTGCACACGAACCCTCCGGAACCTCACCAAGCATCTTCTCCGCCAAAACCCTCCGAAACCTCACAAAGTCTCTGCACCGGAACCTTCCAGAACCTCACAAGAACCCTCCGGAACCTCACCACGCATCTTCTTCTAGACCCTCCGGAACCTCATCAGGTAGCTGCACCGGAAACTTCCGGAACTTCATCAGGTACCTTCACCAAAACCCTGTGCGGAGCGTCAGCTGGTATCTTCACCGGAACCCTCCGGAACTTCACAAGGTATCTGCACCAGAACCCTCCGGAACCTGGTGTTGAAGCTCCACCGGATCGCGCATCGGAACTAATCTGGGCTAAAGACCCCATAGCAAAGTTTTGCTGTTGGGGAAAAATCCGCCCACACCGCTTTGGCGGTGAAGGCGTGCTTATTGGGGGGCAACAGCAACACTAAATGCTCAATGACATTTGTTAATATAGCAGTCGCTATATCAGCTTTAGCTGGGGGGGGGGGCCCAAAAACGGTTTCGCACCGAGACCAGAATACGGTGGTGTTTTCGACATTTTTCGAAGATTTTTGGGTGTCTGAGCGCAAGAGGGTATTGAAATGGAATTTTGGGTCATTTTGGTAGCTTTCCGGCAATGGAAAAACGGCCAAAAATGAAAAAAAAATTGTACATAGCAAGATTTTGCAGGGTTTTTGGATGCCAGAGCATTGAAAACACTGCAAAAACAAGTGTTTTGGACTGACGTTATAGCAAAAAACGTGTAAATTACCGTATGCTTGACTGGAAACATTACAAAAACACTGTCAAAAGCAATGTTTTGGAAGGATTTACTGCCTTTATGGCAAAAAACGTGTAAATTACCGTCTGTTTGACTGGAAACATTGGAAAAACACTGTCAAAAAAATGTTTTGGAAGGATTTCTTATATATATGTTGGAGTTGGCTACCGGCATTGGCACATGGAAAAATTGAAGAAAACACTGTAAATAGCGGTATTTTCAACGGTTGGGGAGATAAGGGAATTGGAAGCATTGTCGAACATGATGTTTTCGACCGGTTTTATGGCGACAAAAGTGTAAAGTACCGTGCTTTGAAGGAAACCATTGCAAAAACATGGAAACACATTCAAAGAACACGGGATTTGGGGGACTATCTAGGGGTCGTTGTCTAGCTATTTGAAATTCCGCAGCTTGGAGAGCCTCCAAGGGACGGAAAAGTGAAAATTCCATAGCTTGGGAAGCTGTCACGGTGGGGAAAAGTGAAAATTCCCTAGCTTGGGAAGCCCCCACGGGGGGGAAAAGTGAAAATTCCCTAGCTTGGGGAGCGCGGGGGAAAAGTGAAAATTCCCTAGCTTGGGGAGCCCCCACGGGGTGGAAAAGTGAAAATTCCCTAGCTTGGGGAGCCCCACGGGGGGGGGAAGTGAAAATTCTTAGCTTGGGGAGCCCCCACGGGGGAAAACCACCCTTAGCCCCTCTCACGGACCGAAATAAACCTGCGGTGTGGGCGGCCACCCCACGCGAAGCGGGGTGAATATATTGGGATCAAAAAAATGTGATTGGGTTCATACTGTCCACACTCTATTTGCAAAAAAAATATATTGGGTGTCTGCAAGAGCACCCAAACCAAGCCCTCCGCCCAAACTCAATCTTCTCCCAGCGATTTTTCCATAGTGATTATCGTTTTTGTCCATGGTTTTTATCTCATTTCTCGATGGTTTTCATTGATTATTCCGTTGTTTGTTTTTTGTTCGATGCTTTTCATCGCTGATTTGATGGTTTTCATCGATGTCTCGATGGTTTAGGGTTCATTTAGGGTTGGTTTCGGGTCTATTTGGGGTTGCCTTCAGGTTATTTCGGGTTGGTGTAGGGTCTATTAAACGTTTGTTTAGGGTTTTTTTAGGGATACAATGTCTGCTACAAAATACGTACTACACTGTATATATATATATATATTTATTATTATTATTAGTAATATTATATTATTTTTGTTATTACTATTATTATTATTACTATTACTATTACTATTACTATTACTATTACTATTACTATTGTTGTTATTATTATTATATATGAATATTATTATCTGTGGTGTTTTTATCATAGGTGAATAGTTGCTATAGGGTTATACATAATATATATATACTATGCTATCGGGTCACCCCCACATATTTACATATATATTTTATGTAATTATAGTATATATAATATGTTATCCGGGTCACCCCCATATGTTTACATATATGTATGTATATATATATATATATACTATCTTATCGGGTCACCCACACATACACATATATATATACTTTAAACCCCACAACGCTTCCACTCAGCCATCACAGCAGCAACAGCCGGCTGCTGCTGCTGCTGCTGGCTGCTGCTACACCTTTGAAGGGATGGAGGAGATGCAGGCCTCAGCAAACGTTCCAATTCGTGATATATATATAAGTATATATATATATACATATATATATAAGTATATATATACATATATATATAAGGTTTATCATTTAAATGGGATATACAAGATTGGTGGGAAATATAGTCATAATATATTTGAGATATATATACCAGATTTATCATATTTAGATTGGTGGTAAAATATACATCATATATTTGAGATATATATACCAGATCTATCATATTTAGATTGGTGGTAAAATATATTCGTTCATATATTTGAGATATATACCAGATTTATCATATGTTCGATATATATATGTGTAACCGAAATTGGTGGTAAAATATATTCATCATATACTTGAGATATAAACTAGATTTACTATATTTTTGGGATATATACCAGATTGGTGGTAAAATATATTAATCATATATTTGAGATATAAACTAGATTTATCATATGTTTAAGATATACCGAATATTGTTTGTATCCCTGATTGGTGGTTTGTATCCCTGATACCATTTTAAAGGGATGATCAAGGGCCCTTAGATTGATCACTACTGGCAGTAAATTGGAATTTCAATGGATTTCCTTCAAACATGAAGATAATCATGGTTCCTTTGAGCGCTCACTACCGGTAGTGAATTGGGATGTTCTTCAAGAATTGGGATGATCGGGGTTCCTTAGAACATTCACTACCAATAGTGAATGGGGAATTCTTTCAAACATTGGGATGATCGGTGTTCCTTAGAACGCTCGCTACCTGATATAGGGAGCGTTCTAACAGGGAGCGACTGTCGCAACCTCTTAGAACACTCACTACCGGTAGCGAGCGTTCTAAGGGCCCCCGATCATCCCATTTGTAGAAAAAATCAATTCAAATCCCAATTCACTACCGGTAGCGGGCGTTCTAAGGGCTCCCCATCATCCCTATTTTTGAAAAATCCATTCAAATCCCAATTCACTACCGGTAGCGAGCGTTCTAAGGGCCCCAATATTGTTGAAAAAATCAATTGAAATCTTAATTCACTACCGGTAGCGAGCGTTCTAAGGAACCCCAACCGTCCCAATTTTTGAAAGAATTCCCCATTCACTACCGGTAGCGAGCGTTCTAAGGAACCCCAATCGTCCCAATTTTTGAAGAAACCCATTGAAATCCCAAGTCACTACCGGTAGCGAGCGTTCTATAAGGGCCCCCCAATCATCCCAATTTTTGACAGAATTACCCATTCACTACCGGTAGCGAGCGTTCTAAGGAACCCCAATCATCCGAATTTTTGAAGAAACCCATTGAAATCCCAAGTCACTACCGGTAGCGAGCGTTCTAAGGAACCCCAATCGTCCCAATTTTTGAAAGAATTCCCCATTCACTACCGGTAGCGAGCGTTCTAAGGAACCCCAATCGTCCCAATTTTTGAAAGAATTCCCCATTCACTACCGGTAGCGAGCGTTCTAAGGGCCCCCCAATCATACATATGTATAATTGCTGCTTTTAAGATAGATAGCGTTCTAACAGGGAGCGACCGTCGCTCCCTCTTAGAACACTCACTACCGGTAGCGAGCGTTCTAAGGGAGGTTTCCTGTCGCTGGAGCACCCTCAATCTTGCGTTCTTCTCACTAAGACCCCAGCGAAAACACAAGATCATCCCTGGTCCGATGTTTGCCAACCCCCCCTTAGAACACTCACTACCGGTAGCGAGCGTTCTAACAGGGAGCGACCGTCGCACCCTGTTAGAACACTATCTATCTTAGGGAGCGTTCTAACAGGGAGCGACCGTCGCTCCCTCTTAGAACACTCACTACCGGTAGCGAGCGTTCTAAGGGCCCCCGATCATCCCAATTTTAGAAAAAATCAATTCAAACCCCAATTCACTACCGGTAGCGAGCGTTCTAAGGAACCCCGATCATCCCAATTTTTGAAAAAATCCACTCAAATCTCAATTCACTACCGGTAGCGAGCGTTCTAAGGAACCCCGATCATCCCAATTCTTGAAAAAATCCAATGAAATCCCAATTCACTACCGGTAGCGAGCATTCTAAGGGCCCCACATCATTTCAATTTTTGACAGAATTACCCATTCACTACCAGCGAGCGTTCTAAGGGCTCCCCATCATCCCTATTTTTGAAAAATCTATTCAAATCCCAATTCACTACCGGTAGCGAGCGTTCTAAGGGCCCCAATATTGTTGAAAAAATCCATTGAAATCTTAATTCACTACCGGTAGCGAGCGTTCTAAGGAACCCCAATCGTCCCAATTTTTGAAAGAATTCCCCATTCACTACCGGTAGCGAGTGTTCTAAGGGCCCCCCAATCATCCCAATTTTTGACAGAATTACCCATTCACTACCGGTAGCGAGCGTTCTAAGGAACCCCAATCGTCCCAATTTTTGAAAGAATTCCCCATTCACTACCGGTAGCGAGCGTTCTAAGGAACACCGATCATCCCAATGTTTGAAAGAATTCCCCATTCACTATTGGTAGTGAATGTTCTAAGGAACCCCGATCATCCCAATTCTTGAAGAACATCCCAATTCACTACCGGTAGTGAGCGCTCAAAGGAACCATGATTATCTTCATGTTTGAAGGAAATCCATTGAAATTCCAATTTACTGCCAGTAGTGATCAATCTAAGGGCCCTTGATCATCCCTTTAAAATGGTATCAGGGATACAAACCACCAATCAGGGATACAAACAATATTCGGTATATCTTAAACATATGATAAATCTAGTTTATATCTCAAATATATGATTAATATATTTTACCACCAATCTGGTATATATCCCAAAAATATAGTAAATCTAGTTTATATCTCAAGTATATGATGAATATATTTTACCACCAATTTCGGTTACACATATATATCGAACATATGATAAATCTGGTATATATCTCAAATATATGAACGAATATATTTTACCACCAATCTAAATATGATAGATCTGGTATATATATCTCAAATATATGATGTATATTTTACCACCAATCTAAATATGATAAATCTGGTGTATATATATCTCAAATATATTATGACTATATTTCCCACCAATCTTGTATATCCCATTTAAATGATAAACCTTATATATATATATATGTATAAAATATTATATATATATATTATTGTTGATTATATCTATATTATTATATAATATAATATAATATAATATAATATAATATAATATAATATAATATATATATAATAATATATATATATTATTATATATATATATTATTATATATATATTATTATATATATATACATTATTATATATATTATTATATATATATTATTATATATATATAATTATTATATATATATATGTTATTATATATATTATTATTATATAGGTTATATATATTATTATATATATAGTTAAATATACAATTATATATATAATTATATATAATTATATATAATTATATATAATTATATATATTATATATTATATATATATGTGTGTGTGTGATATATGTGACGAGTGTATTGGCAAGTCTGCAAGCTTGGATTTACACTGAGAAAAAAAACAGGAGGGATTTAGGCCCAGGGATAAAGGACTCGCTTCTTTCCTTTGTTGAAGCCTTCCTTTCTTTCTTTCGTTGTTTTTTTTAATTGTGTTCTGTTTTTTCCTGTTTTTTCCTTTCTTTTCTTTTTCTTTCTTTATTTTACTTCTTTTCTTTTCTGTTCTGTGTTTTTTTTTCCTTTCTTTTCTTTCCTTTCCTTTCCTTTTCGTTTCGTTTCCTTTCCTTTTTTTCTCCCAATACCATTTTTTATTCCCAATAGTATTTTTTGATCTAGATGCCTGTGTTTCATGTGTCTCGAGTTTCAAAGGCTGCTTGGCGTATTGGTTGGATTTGGTTGGATTTGCTTGGTCCGTGTTTTTATCAAGAGCGAGAGTCTCGGGGATGCCTGATTTGCCAACGTTTGATTAAACAAATTCAGCCAAGTGGTGCGCATGGTTTGGTTGCTGCAAAGGTTCGGTGTCGTTGCTGCCACCGCTGCCACCTGATGAACAGGGGTTGGGATTGATGTCCTTCCTTGGGGTTTTTGCATATCATTTTCAAGATTTTTCAAGTGTTTGTTGGAGATTATATCAGTGCTGAATTATGTTTAATTAGGACATTGGGACATTTGCCCCTGATGAAATGCCTTTTCTTGAATACAAAATCACTGTGAAAACGCATCAAAAAAAATATCCAAGCTGATGGCAAACCCAAGCCTCGACACCATGAGCAACGACACCCGCGAGAAGGAACGGCAGTAGCCTCAGCATGTTTCAAGCGCAAACATCAAACAATTTGTTTTAACACGGCATGCCTGAAAACGGGGTATATTCCAATGAAATTTCCATCAAAGTGCCATGTGATTTGAGAAAAATTATGATTTTCGATGACGTTCATCGTGAAATTAGGTGGTTTTCCCAACATTTTTAAGTGAAGACAACAAAGGTGGACCAGCAACAGCCATTCCCAAAACAATCTGAGGTGACCACCAAACCCTCGTTGATGTCAGTTTCCACCATAAAGGAAACATTTGCGGCATTTGGCGCTGGCCAGATGCTAAATGACCAATGAAATTGCCAAAGATACAACAGTGAAGTTGCAATAGCAATCAATAACCATGAAACACATCAAAAAATTGGGATTTAACCAGAAGTAAACTAAAATCTACTCAGCAACAGGTTGATGAATGTACTGATGCCCGCTTAAGATGTCCGAGTTTTCTTGGTCGGAAAAGCGGATCAAAAATGTCAATGATGTTATAATTTGTCAGCCATTTGGATCAAAAATATAGAAATACTGAAATACTGAATCTGTTGTGAAACCGGAACCGAGACGCACCAAGGCAGAAAAGAAATGTGTGCCGAGTGCTTGGAAAGTTCAGTGTGACTATGGTTTCGAGTTTACTCGAGAGTCAAGAGTTGCACTTGTTCACGATTTGTTTTTTCGATGTGTTTAACCGTTTAACTGATCGATTTTAAAGAAGCAGTGAAGTGAAACAAGGAAATCATAACAGCAATAAAACAGATTTCCGTTCTCTGAACACGGGGTCAGTTTGGCATCACGTTCTTTCATCGGCAAGAAATTGTATGTTGCACCGGGTGGCACGTGCAATGCTGACGGACCATGCAGAGCATGGAAGGGAACCGAAACCAGTTTGGCACCGTGCCGGTAGTCTGTTTGTGTTAGAAAATGTTTTTCGTAAACCTGGTTCAATCCTTTTTGCAAACAATATGGAACACATGTAACTAATCAAAAAAATTAAAATGTCACACTAGTTCTACGTAGCTAGTGTCCAAAGCATTGGGTTATCACAGTAGCGACAGCAGCTGCATGTATTGTTGTAGTCTTTGGCAAAAAATACGACATGGCACTTTCCACTCCCTGTTTCAAACCCACACTGTTTTCAATAAGGTATAGACAAAGGAAATTTAGTGCGCAAACTTCCATGTGCGGACGATGTCCATGATCAGTCTTCTCATCATGTCAACCGCAAAGAATTTGTGATTCGCAGGCGTAAACACTTTCGGGCGTGAACCCTGTGTCTTTATCGTGGTTCTTAGAGTCGCGAAAGTAGGGTCTGTGTTTCCGCATTTCCCGTCCTCACTCTGGGAAAGTTGTGGACAAAAAGCGTGCAATACTATAGCGAAAGTTGGATTTGCACTTCAACATGTTGGAAAACAACGCACTGGACTGTAGCGGGCGCACGTTTTCAAAATAAACCCGAAAGTTAGAGGACCGGATAACCCCACATGTTCACAATTTATCCAGACTTAGGCTGAGCACAGAAAGGCAACGAGGGAAGAGGAAGTATGAGAGTGATGGATGGGTGATGGTGGGTGAGTTTGTGTGTATGTATGTATGTGCAAGTACAGGTGTGTCACTTTGGTAGTGCGTTAACGATATGTGTACCGGGTGCATGTGATGTTATACGTATGTGTATGTGTGTATGTGAGGTGATAATATCTATCTATCTATCTATCTACCTACCTATCTATCTATCAATCTATCGATTTATCTATCCATCTATCTATCTATCCATCTATCTATCTATCTTTCTATCTATCTATCTAATTAATCTATGTATCTATCTATCTATCTATCTATCTATCTATGTTTCTATCTATCTATCTTTCTATCTATCTAATCTAATCTAATCTACTCTACTCTACTCTACTCTAATCTAATCTAATCTAATCTACTCTACTCTACTCTAATCTAATCTAATCTAATCTATCTATCTATCTATCTAATCTATCTAATCTATCTAATCTATCTAATCTATCTATCTATCTATCTATCTATCTATCTATCTATGTATTCTAGTCTATTCTATTCTATTCTATTCTATTTTATTCTATTCTATTCTATCTATCTATCTATCTATCTCTCTCTATCTATCTATCTATCTATCTATGTTTCTATCTATCTATCTTTCTATCTATCTAATCTACTAATCTAATCTAATCTAATCTACTCTACTCTAATCTAATCTAATCTAAATCTAATCTAATATAATCTAATCTAATCTATCTATCTATCTACCTATCTATCTATCTACCTACCTACCTATCTATCTATCTATCTATCCATCTACTTACCTATCTATCTATCTATCCATCCATCCATCTATCTATCTATCGATCTATCGATCTATCGGTCTATAGATCTATCGATCTATCTATCTATTTATCGATCCATCTATCTATCTATCTATCTATCTATCTCTCTCTCTATCTATCTATCTATCTATCTATCCATCTATCTATCTCTCTCTCTCTCTATCTATCTATCTATTCATTCATCTTTCTATGCCACACAAAAGCCACCGGGGCGTACATCCAAGCCCTTGGCAGTGCACATTGTCCCACGCCTGCCAGGCAAAAGCCACCGGCAGAGCGGCGGAGACGAAGGGACGCCGGCGTACATCCGACCCCTTGCAGAGCACCAAGTGCCGCACCTGCCACACAAAAGCCACCGGCATCATTGTTTCGAGCCAGTTGGACCGCGCCGCGCAAGATACCCTCAAACACAAACCAAGAACCATTCATCAACCAACACCTCACGATCACGAGTAAGGTAAACGTCGCCGCTACAAACAAACGTCGTCAAAGCAAAACATGGAAACGATGTTCATCGCCGAAAACGTTGGTCACAAAAAACGACGTGGAAAATACACAAAAATCAATAATGGTTTCACTGGGACTGCGCTCCCACTTTTTGTCACGCTGCGGGGAAAGTTCGACTGGATCAGTTTGGTTGGAGAAGCTGCCCAACACATTCTGAGCCTAACCCCACATCAAACGTGGGTTGGCACGACAATCCGAACTCTTTCACATCCCGCAAGTATTGGGTCACTGAACGACAACCGGGATGGCGCATCTGAAACATTCGAATGACTCGGTACTCCACCGAACCAAGAGTATATTCTCAGGCGAGCTTCAAGGTGGACAAACTCCTTGATGAAGGAAGCTGCATTGGCATTGGCTCCACATCCTTTGATGTACGACGCTCGAGCCCCAACGTTGTCCAAAAAGAGGACTGTAGGACAGCCATTATAGCTAAAGGGTGACCCTCCTACAAAACGCGCACGTCCTACGCACATATATCTCATATGTGTGAACTATATATATATACACAACATATATAGGACACACATCGGATAAAAACATGTAAATGAAAACATCGAAGCACATCACGACACTCCTCTCTCCCTCTCGGAAAACAAAACATCAAACAAACAAAATGGATGCACATGCCGAAATGAGATCTCTACTTTCTCTTTTTTCCACTTGGCAGTCCAGGGGGGAATTCGAAAATTGTTCAACTTGTACACACCACCACATGTGAGTGCGTTTCATTTGTCACTCTTGTGACCTGATACATCACACCAACATTTGGTTCATCCATGTTTCTCCCCCCCGTGTTTGCAAAGGGTTGGGAAAAGAGTGCAACGCCACGATTGGGAGGGGCAAACACACACAAACAATTGGGCACACCCGCCCACCCTCCTCTCTTGAGGCGACGCGGTGATATAAAATTCACAAACATCCAAACATGAACATGGAAATAAGGTGTGGTCAAAAAACATGAAACCAAACAAACTGAAACAACATGCATCACCAAACCCTGTAAGGCATCCACAAGGTTTCACGTTTGTTGTCTCAGTTTTTTTGACACCTTTGACACCTTCACCTTGTTCAAACATTGTAAACAGTTAAACAGTTGTTGAGGTCAGCACACGTTTGCACAAGTTCATTGAAACTTTTTTGTTGGAGGGCGCTCACATGGTTCGCTTTCACCCTAAGCTATAAACAGCTATTAGCAAGCTAAACGCAACCTTATAGCTAAAGGGTGACCCTCCTACAAAACGCGCACGTCCTACGCACATATATCTCATATGTGTGAACTATATATATACACAACATATATAGGACACACATCGGATAAAAACATGTAAACGAAAACATCGAAGCACATCACGACACTCCTCTCTCCCTCTCGGAAAACAAAACATCAAACAAACAAAATGGATGCACATGCCGAAATGAGATCTCTGCTTTCTCTTTTTTCCACTTGGCGTCAAGGGGGAATTCGAAAATTGTTCAACTTGTACACACCACCACATGTGAGTGCGTTTCATTTGTCACTCTTGTGACCTGATACATCACACCAACATTTGGTTCATCTATGTTTCCCCCTCGTCTGCTTCAGCTACTCCATTTCGTAAGATCTCAAGAAAACGTTCGTCCCAGGGCATTCGGCATCTATTATGTTTACATCTCCAAGGAAAGCAATGTCTGAAACGTTCTTTTCGGCTGGGAGGATCTGCAGGGTTTGAAGCTGATGGGACTCTAGCAGTCCACAGGTGCATAGGATGGCTTTCATCCGTTTTTTCCAAAACAAGCAACAACTCTCGCCATTCCTTAACTCCAGCTGTACCCTTCACAACTGCGTCGTAAGCAGGCCATGAATCTGTGAAAAGAATGACTCGATCGTTTTTGAATGTGTTTCTCCATGTGTGCAATCCCACAACAGCAGCATACAGTTCAACTAAGCCAATAACGTGAGTCCTTCCACTGGCCTGCCAGATCTGCAAGAGAGGCTCCGGCACATTGCAGCCAAAGCAGGATGTCTTACCATCTCTGTCAATTAAAAGCTCGTTGTATTCCAAAGCTCCATCTGTGAACAACAGGTGCGGCTTGCGGGGAACTGAAGCAATCAGTTCTTTCGGTCGTCCAGATGTAAATCTCTCCAACAGGATT